CATATCCATAAGTATTAATATATTTTGATGTTTTTATTTTTATGAAACACATTAGGCGGAATAAAACAATATTAATTGGGATGAATCAATCTATAAATTGAAAGCAATATGAAACCATAGTTGATTTGAGTTTGGATGTACCTCGGAAGGAAACAATCCATATCCAAATGATTGCTCGAGTAAAATTTTCAATTCTTGAACGAAATACCATAGCTTGCAGTTATGTTTATGCGCCTGATATCTTTCGTTTGTCATCTGCGAGAAAAGGTAAAAACACTGACCTGCAAGATGGCGAATGATTCATGAAAATATAATACGTCACTCGTCAACATTCAATAAAAATACCATAACACTTTCGTATAGGTGTTACATTGCATCTCCCAATCTCATCGCACACGAATTTCCGGCGTCCAGATTTTCGTTGCCATTTCAAGACATGGAAACCCCGTCTCCGACGGCCGCCGCCGGCTGCAGGCAAGATACAACCAAACTCTCGTTCATCTAAAGCGTGGCACGCTGACCTCTGGCGGCGAGCGATGACGTGAACTCTAGGTCATTATTGACGAAGCGAAGGGTTTCTCGTCGCTCTCTTCTCTGGGTCTACTGAAAGGCTAGCTCACCGACCACGGCAGCAGACGACGACACAAACCCTAGGTCATTATTGACGAAGCGAATGGTTTCTCGTCGCTCTCTTCTCTGGGTCTTCTGAAAGGGTAGCTCACCGACCACGGCAGCAAACGACGACACAAACCCTAGGTCATTATTGACGAAGCGAAGGGTTTCTCGTCGCTCTCTTCTCTGGGTCTTCTGAAAGGGTAGCTCACCGACCACGGCAGCAAACGACGACACAAACCCTAGGTCATTATTGACGAAGTGAAGGGCTTCTTGTCATTCTCCTCTTTTCTCTGAGTCCTCTGCCAATGGTGGCCCGCCGACCGCCGGTGGCGAACGACGACGATAAACCTTGGTCATTACCGACTATTGGAAGAGCTTCTTCTCGCCCTCCTCCCTTCTCTGAATCCTCCACCAATGGTGGCAAGGCGACTGGCGGGGACGAGAGAGGATGCAAACCCTCGGTTATTATCGACGAAGTAAAAGGCCCATCGTCGAGCGCCTTAGCCGGAATTCTCTGTCAAAGCGTAGCACCGCGACCTAGGGCGGCGATCGATGACGGAAATCCTTGCTCATTTTTTACGGAGTGGAATCCCCATTCTCGTGTCCTCCTTTCTCTGAATTGTCGTCTGCCAAGACGTGACAAGATTCCGGGATCAAAAGAAGCTAGATGTTCTTTCTAGCATGTGGCGCCGCCTTAGAAAGAACGTCCACCGTTGAAAGGTTCGATGCAGAGTTTTCAAATTTTGGAATCCCCTACATCTGCTAATCAGTTGCCCCGCAGTGTGCACTTTGCGAACCCCTTAAGGCTGAACGAGCGGTTTACTCTGCAGATATATGAGACCGTTCAATGGGGTCGTGAACATCTTCATTCTTCTTCCTTTTCCATAAAGGCAGCATAATCACTCTGAAAGGTTTTCACCAAGATCTGATGTGGTTTAGTTTCTGAATAATTGATGGAGAGCCATCATAGAGAAAGGGGTTTTGGATGATGCCATCGATCTTTCGGGGGATTCGTAAGGCAAACTACAATATTTTCTTCTGAAGATGGCAATCCGATCGCTTAGTGACTTCGCTCTAGTGTGGGTTTAGATCGGGTTGGGGACACGTAAAATGCCCTCTTTCCTAACGCGTGTCCGCACTCCTGCCTCCTCTCGTTCTCAATTTTCCATTGGAGAGGATGACTTCATGGAACCTGTTGCTCATGGGGTAATCTCCACTGGCCCATCGAAGAAGGTAGGAAAAGGAGGATCAAGAGGTTTCGGGTCATCGACGACACAGAACCCTAACGCATTACCAGATGAGTAATGCATTGATTTCCAAGACCAACGTATGCTGTCTTAGAAAAAATATGAGTAAAATAAGGAAACTTCGGAAGCAACCATGTAGTTTGCGTCTCTCTCTCTCTCTCTCTCTCTCTCTCTCTCTCTCTCTCTCTTACACACACACACACACACACACACACACACTCCCTCTCATCCTTTTTTTCCTTCCATCCCTATCCCCCCCTTCCCCCCTTGGGAGCTACATCGATGTTTCGATCTTGGAACTGGGCATGGGCAGATAACGATCGTGCGCACCGAGATACGTCTGTAATCGCCCTCTCGATCAGCACCCAAGGAAGATAGTGCATGCTAGGCCCCCTTCAACATCCCACAGAGTAGACCGAATCCATTTATTTCCATGGATCCGATCCTTCGTGTTCTCTAACCTTGTCTGCCGGTTGAAATAGAGATGAGCATCCGAGAGGTGATAGTTATCCAAGATATGCCACTTTCTTGATGTGTCGCGCAGAACCTGGTCCTTATTAGCTCTCTCTCTCTCTCTCTCTCTCTCTGTCTGTCTCTTTCTCCCTTCTAAATGTCTTTCTGGACTCCACCCAGTCTTAGCCTGGCCAGGACCTATTGGCACCCCTAAGTATTCCCCTCGTGTACACTAACGTATTCTGAAGGATATCACCAACTATCAAGCAAGTTCCGACTAGCTTCTCAAGGAGGTTTCCTGGAACTTGATTCGCTGTTTGGCCATCTTTCGATGCAGTTTGACGATCATCCTTATTGTTCTCTGTTGGTTTCCTAAGGTAAAAACCCCTTCTATCGGTATTCCTCTATGGCGAACGGATCTCGCCGCCGTCGGCAGCCCTGCACCGACGTCGTTGTCTTCTCTTCCATGAATAATTAAGAACGACGCGTGGCTAACACACGAGGAGACAGGACGCGTGAATGCTCACTATTCCATTGGGCGCGACGTCCTTAGGTTCAGGAAACGAGTATCCCATTCCAAGGCTGGTGTGTTTGCAAGACTGAGAGAGGAGAATGTGATGAGAGAGAGAGAGAGAGAGAGAGAGAGAGAGAGAGAGAGAGAGAGGAAGTGCCCACTTGAAGCAACAGTCAATTTTGAAAGGTGAACAACTCACATACCTGTGCAGCTGATATTGTTCCTCTCATTGTCAAAGAAATAGCAACCTGTATAATGTGGAGGATGGGTGTGTGTGTGTGTGTGTGTGTGTGTGTGTGTGTGAGAGAGAGAGAGAGAGAGAGAGAGAGAGAGAGAGAGGACCCATTGCAGGCCAGACACAAGACCAGAGCAATTTGACGTGCTAAACCTTATTTTGGGCCCAAGCCCCAAGGTCGGAACCAGCCGGGGCACTGAACTGTTAGAAAGATGGAGCATGGTTTTGCTGGGTTGAGAAAACGCCATCCAACAGTCAGTTCTAGGGATCGCATGAGATCGTTGCTCCAATGCCAGGGGAGGGCTGGGGCTGCCCTTCAGGATTTTCCAATCTTCACGATTCATGCCATTAAAATTTTGGCAACTAGCTTCATACACTGGCACGCCCCACTTAGAAACCTTACTGTACTAAAATGGTCTCTACATATCACCAATGTTACGTACAATATCCTATGAAATGTGGTATCAAGCAGCGATTGTGAGCCTGCTCCCATGATCCCCGGTCTCATGAATCATGAGAGAGAGAGAGAGAGAGAGAGGGAGGGAGAGAGAGAGAGGCTGGTATGGCAGAAGCTGGGGAGGGAAACCAAACTTTCCACCCACAAGGAATGATTTTTTTTTGGTTGAAAAAAATGCACCTTTCCACAGTGAGTGCATCTTTAAATAAATAAAAAATCTTTCTGAAGAAAATAAGAATGACTAAAAATAGGATTCGTGAATAATAATAGTAACTGAGCTTGGTAAAACAATTTCTGGGTCCAATCTTTCATTTTTTTGGGCCTTTCTGGGCAGCACTTAATGGGTCTCCTCCACTTCCCACAACTGTGGATCGTCTCATGTCACGGAAGTGGGCTGGCTCTATTGTTTCACACAACCCAATCAAACCCTTGGGCCCATCCGGTGCTAATTGGGCCATGTGGGTCCATATTTGACCCCAAAACCAATAAAAATTGCCCTCGTCGCCAGCTCGGCGAAGTTGACTTCACCTGGCTGTTTCGGTCAACGATCTTAAAAAATGGCTAGACTTGATTATGGGCCGGGATACGTCGACCTCATCCTGCCCACAACGCCTGAGAGGGTCAGATGCAACCGAAAAAATCTATACAGATATCCTGTTGGGCTGCCTAACTTGGAAGAGCCGTGGGGTTTAGCGCTTGGTCAAACTGAAGAGGTCTTCTCATCCTGCTTGGTCAAAATCATTGGCAGTCGCCTCTCGATTGCCTGCCCCAATACGGACGTTGACCAGAATTAATTTCTCACGGTATTTTTCCCTGCCAGTAATTTCGATTAAACCGCTTCTAGTTTCCTTTTAAGAAAAAGTGGCTTCTGGAAATAGTCTGAATTACGACCAAAATATGAGTTTTTAAAGTAATTTCGCTGGGTACGATGTTTCCATTTAAAGGAAGTCTGTCGGGTAGAGGGCCTGGATTTATTTATCCACGTGAGTGGATGTGGATAAGGGAGCAGGCGGTGTCAGTCAACGTTCGTCTACGGAATGAAGCCGACGGGTTCTGAGCGGCAGGTGGAAGTCAAGAAACAAAGGCTAACTCGCCACGTTGGCGGAGTCTTCGATGCTTATCCAGGTTCACAGCTCCCGCCTCCTGCCGCCTCCTGACGCCGGCCAACAAACTTAACCGTCAGTGCTTCGATTCGAAGTAGGAGGACCCCCAACCACCCGAACGTACCCCCATATAACACACAAATATCGAAACTACCCTTCAGAGGAAACAAACGTGGATACACAGCAGAGGGGCATGAACCGTAGTTTACACAACAAATGCGTCTATTGTTATGTGGCCGCGGAGTTAGCTGGTCCTCGTTTCTTCCTCTTCCGGTCCAAGGGAGCGTACCAGGTCGTTCCTCGAGGGGCCGTCTCTCATAAATTTCCCACCTGAGGAAGGAGGCTCCGTCTGTGAGGAACGGGAAGAGCGGTGGCGATGGCGAATTCGGAGAACAACTGCGGCGGCGGAGGAGCGGAGGCCGGCAAGGGGAAGGACGCGAGGACGAGCGCCGTGCACAGCCTGGTGAGGAGGATCCGGCGAGAGGAGGAGGAGATGGTGGAGTCCTCGCCGCCGGCGGTGCTGGAGTGGAGGCACGATCTGCGGGGCTTCGCCCCGCGGCGGATCTCGCCTTCGCCCCTCGGGCGTCGCCGGATCGGGCGAGCCATCTCCGTCGGCGACTGACGCCGGCGGCCTCGCTCCGCCTTGGTCCCCTAGAAGGCAGATTAGCGCAGTAGCCCCCTTTCTTCTTCTCTTCCGATCTCTTCTCCTTCTTTTTCTTCTTCTTCTCTCTCATGGAAACGAATATATTAGCTGTACATGGATTCTACTCTTCAAGCTCTCGCTCACACCGAAACCTGGTTCTACGCCTTGAGAGAGAGAGAGAGAGAGAGAGAAAGGGAGCGAGAGCGAGAGGAGAGAGATAGAGGGAGAGAGAGAGGCAGAGAGCGCGAGAGAGAGAGAAAGGGAGAGGGAGAAGGAGAGAGCGCGAGAGAGAGAGAAAGGGAGAGGGAGAAGGAGAGAGCGCGAGAGAGAGAGAAAGGGAGAGGGAGAAGGAGAGAGCACGAGAGAGATGAGAGAGGGAGAGAGAGAGAGAGAGAGAGATGAGAGAGAGAGAGAGAGAGAGAGAGAGGAGAGAGAGAGAGAGAGAGAGAGAGTGAGAGAGAGAGAGAGAGAGAGAGAGAGAGAGAGAGAGAGAGAGATAGAGAGAGAGAGAGAGAGAGAGGAGAGAGAGAGAGAGAGAGAGAGAGAGAGAGAGAGAGAGAGAGAGAGAGAGAGAGAGAGAGAGAGAGGGAGGGGGAGTGCCGCTGAATAGCCAGTGTGGGCCGGATACGGCCCAAGCCCATTAACTCGTTATCTTACCTATCTCTTTTCTTTCCCGCCCATATGTTTGAAAAAATACGCGGAAGGGATCTCACTGAGAGAGAGAGAGAGAGAGAGAGCGAGGGAGAGGGAGGAGAGAGAAGGAAAGGGATCTACACTAGAATGGGGCAGGAGGGGAAGGGAGGGGGAGAAGGGAAGCAACTGGCGCTTAAGATCGCGAGGATTCTGGATGAATGCCGGCTGTCCCAGGCAGTTCACCAGCGCAAGCTCCGGGAGCTCTCGGCAATCAGGTCCACCTCGCACGTCGGGTTCGTCTCTTCGTTCACCTGGGCCTTGACGCCGCTCTTTGAGGTCTCCAAGAAGACCGCCTCCATCGAGAGGATTGTCCGATTCGTGTCGACTTTTGCCGCTCCCCGGGGTGTCAAGACCGGTAATGTCACCTGCGACTCCTTCCTGGTGGAGTTTCTCAGGTTTCTTCTGGTAGCAGCACGCTCCGCCAGCAAGACAGCGCGGCTCCGAGCGTGCCAGATTGTCTCTCAGGTGACATATTCTTATCATTAAGGGGATTGTGGTCGTCTATTTCCCCCCAACACGTTCACCTTTTCCGTCATTTTTGCCGGGGAAGAGTGAGGTTGTTTCTCTCTCATATAGTATTTAGTACGGCATTTTTTGAAAGCCAATTTTATCTTCTCAATCCATATGATTTTTTCTACTGCTGCATGAAGGGAAATTTCATCAATTTTCGTAACTCGCATTTGTTTCGCCAAAACTGAGTCTCAATTATGTTTTCTTTTAATCGGAAGTTATGTTCTTTACCTCTGTTCGTCCATCTTTGTAATGTGGGACTTCTACTTGGTTGTGCTCTTTGTTCATCACTTCTAGATTCCATAACGGTTGATCACTGTTAAAAAATAAATAAATTCACATAGATTACTGGAAAACAAGATGTCTTGAATGTTAGCCTCCCTGCTTGGTTTTTCTTTGGAAAAAATCGTCATACTGGTCGATAATTGTGTCTTTCTGTAGATCATAGACCTGCTACCAGATGATGCTGACGTGAGTGACGAAGTTTGGGATGGCGTCATTTATCGCATGAAGGAGCGTGTAGAGGACAAGGTTCCTGATGTTCGCGCTTGTGCTGCTCGTGCCCTATCACGCTTTGCTAATGATGGGGGGAACTGTGACATTATTGACCTACTCCTCCGAGCTCTTTCTCAAGAGCCAAACACTGTGTGTTTTGGAACTCGTTTCACTATCTTCTTTGTTATCATCCTTACTTTCTGTTGGTTTTTAAACTGTTTCGATATCGTTTATGTGTAGGATGTTCGGAAAACGATTGTGCAGTCCTTACCCCCAACAAATTCTACATTGGCATCCATTATTGATTGCACTCTTGATGTCCATGAATCAGTGCGCAAAGCTGCATATGTTGTTTTGGCATCTAAATTTCCACTTCAAAGTCTCAGGTAGCATTGTACGTTTAATTGGTCCAAATCCGAGTTTGATTGGTTTGTATGATTATTCATCTTCATCTTTTCCATCAATGTCCAGTATCAAGCTTAGAACTCTGCTTCTTCAAAGGGGTTTGACGGATAGATCATCATCAGTAACAAATGAGTGTCTTAAGATGCTGAAGGAAGAGTGGCTTATGAAGTGTTGTGATGGTGACCCCATTACACTTCTAAGGTACCTTGACGTTGAAACATATGAATCAGTGGGGGAGACAGTAATGGAAGCCCTTCTAAAGGAGGGAGCTGTCCAAGTGCAAGAAGGTCAGAGTATTCGGCATTTTTTATCATCAACAACCAACAAAAATGAAGGTATCTATTATATTCATTGATGATGCACAGTTCATGTGACATTAAGGAATTCGATCATAATTGACTAGTGCCCTCTTCTGTTTTGTTCACGTGGTAATGTTTTTTTTTGGTTACTTGAGAATTCCTTCTTTGTGATCTTAGATTTGAGATATTATATACACACTTTTCATCAAAATGGTCTTTATTTTTTAGTCAAGTGAGGATTTCTTTAATAATTTTTTCGTTCATACGAAGTAAATTTTTTCTCCTAGTGTTGAATAGTACAGCTATGACCTGTAAAAGCGTCAAAATTCGACGCATTTGGTATCTGGGCTGGGGATGAAGGTTCTGGTTCTTATCTTTTAAGGGCTGTATGATGGTAAAGGGGAATTTTTTTTCTAAGAGAGTCTGTTGAAGAAAATTTTTGACGCAAAGGTAAAGGAGAGTTTATTGCTAGGGATAATGGTCAGATCCTCTAGTAGTTTTTTTTTCTTCTATGAAAACCTCGTCTTTCAGATACGGTTTAATAAGATGCCGACATCTCTTGTAGGTTAATGTTAAATGTACTTAAGTCTGCTGCGTAGAAGTGGACTATCAATCGCTGCCATGGTAACAGATATGTGGGTGAACATGGATCTGCGAAAAAGGAATGTCATCTCAAAGGGATGAAACCATTTGTTACATATTAAGTATATATCCGAGAAACGATCAGTTAAAGTGAATTGATTATATATCTTGTTCTGTTGTATCATAATACAAAACATCACAAAAACTTGGGTTGGCTTAGTAAATTAGAAAAAAGGCCTGGAAATTTCGAAACTGTTACCATGATGAAATTCGCTGCACAAGTTATGCATTAGATTTGATCTCAATGCTTGATAATTTTCGGTGACTTCTGCGAAGAAAGAATGAAGTTCTGAATACAAGTTTCTGCGTCATCTGCTACGTTGCCTCATTTGCTACATACCTACTACTAGTTATTCCTGCTGTTTTACTGACGAGATCATTTGTACGATAGAGGAAACAAACTGCCAGTGATAAACAATAGGATACCCAGTGTGCTCAATGGCTTGGTAATCCAAGTATTTTGCCAAAACGATCCAATCCTTAAAACGGGCATGCATTTATTGGATCAGTGGTCTATCATATCTAACAGCAGTAAGTTTACTTATTGGTGACGAGGGCCGGAGACTTTGAGTATGACCATGTGCAAAAGAGAATGATGCTGCATCAATATGTCACGAAGTACGGCTATTTGAAGAATAGAGCCAATATTCGAAACCACTGGCTGTGATAATTCTTCATCCCTGTTTACATTATATATTTATTTATGCCAAAAAACGTTTGACTCCACTTCCAGCCAAGGAAAAGCCTCATAAATGAAATTGCATCATCATGCATTCTTAATAAATCCCGCAAATGTTTAATAGGTAAATGTCTTTCATGGACTTCATATATATGGATATATCTCTTAACGTTTTAGTTTGTGATTAAAGTTGTTTGAGGAAAACACACAGGCTGAGCCGTTCTTGTTTTATTTTTCATTTGTAGTGGATTTATGTTATATTGAAGTAGATACAACAATGAACAACAATGTTTATGTATAATACTTTTGGATTTTAACTTGTTTCTCTGGATACCAGTGGAAGGACAAAGCATTACTGGCGTCCAATTGATGGAAGCAGAAGTTGCGCTTTACTGGAGGACTGTATGCAGACATCTGCAAGCTCAAGCACAAGTATGATCTATGGTTTTCATCATGATATCTTTTTTGTTGTCGTCAAGTTTGATGATGAATTATTTAGAGCTTACAATTTGAGGATCTTCTGTAAGAATGGAAAGAAGTTCTGTGCTACCTATTTAATATGGTCTCATAATCTTCTTCTATTCTACAGTAGAATAAATAACTCGTCAAGAAAAAAATTATTGCAAAGTTGGAATGTCCTCCCGAAATTTATTTGGCACGATGCATTCTCTATTTACATAGTTTTTATGAGACAACATTTATTTCCAATGGACACTCTTTTATAAAAAAATCGATAGGATAGGAACAGACGGATCAGTTGAAACTTATGCACCTCCAATCAAATCTTTTTGCATACAAAAGTATCATTAATTTGATGCGTTGTAGTTTTTGATTACTCACCTCACTAATTCAAAGACATAAATTCTTCGTACTTTTATTTCTGTTCACTTTTATTTAAGTTTCCAATGATGTCTCATTGAAAAAAGGCAACATAGGTCTTGTCAATTAAAAAATGTATCTAAAGTCAATTTCACTAATTGAAATAAGTTATATCGTAATATTATACAAATTTGAGAGGGTAGAGTATATCACGTTTTATAACCTGATCTATTATTAGACTGTAAGGATAGTAAGAGCATTTTGTTCTAAAAAAGTGACGCAGATATCTTTATCTTTTTCTCCAGGTTCTCTTTCCTGTCGCATTTTGATTTATATCTATTTCCTGTTAATTTTTAGGAATCTGTTATGATTTAGCCTGGCTAAAATCTCTTTTTTTTTCAGTATCAACTATGCATTTGATGCCGTAATTGTACTTTCACATACTTTAGGGTTGACATACGGTCCGCTGCATCCTTCAAAATCTTTTAGCAAATTGTTCTACCCTAGTAACTTAAGAATGGTTTTTTGACATCCTTATTTCAGAGTATCTTGTCATTTTCTAATTAGGGGCTCCTTGTGGATATTTCCATTTTCTGTTTGCGAAACTTATAAATATATGCCAAATCGTAGTCTCCCTCGCACTAGCTGCATCTTCACCGTTGACTTCTGATCTGCCACTCAGGCCAAAGGTTCTGATGCCGCAGCAACAACTGGCACTGAGGCAGCAGTATATGCGTCCGAAGCTACAACTGAAAATGACCTGCTTGAAAGCGTGCTTCCTGTTACAGTTTCCGATTACATTGAATTGGTCGAGGCCCATCTTTCCGCAGGTACTGAACCTCCATATCCATGGCTTTTGTAGGTTTTTATATGTTGATATGGACACCTCCCGCCCCACCCACACCCCCATTGTCTTACGTTTGTTTCAGGTTCAAACTTCCGATTTGCATCCCGACAGCTTCTACTACTCGGCGCGATGCTCGACTTTTCTGATGTAGCGAACAGGAACGTAGCTAGCCGCTTCGTGCGTGAGCTCTTATGCCGGCCATTTGAGCACGAGATTGATGATGATGGACATAAGGTCATGATAGGAGACGGCATCAGTCTTGGCGGAGACAGAGACTGGTGCAGGGCGGTGGCGGCGTTGGCCAAGAAGGTCCACGCTTCTGTGGGCGAATTCGAAGAGGTTGTGACAGGCGTTGTGGAGGAGCTCGCTCGCCCTTGTCGAGAGAGAACCGCAGATTTAATAGGCTGGACGCAATGTCTTGCTGTAACCGGTCTTCTTCTGGAGAACGCCGAGTCCTACCGGTGCCTGCAAGGGAAGGCCATCGAGCCCGCCGAACTCCTGCATTCTCTGCTGCTCCCGGCGGTGAATCCTCCTACCCGACTCCACTCCGCCCTTTGAATTTTCCCATTTTACATGCCTTTGTAGAAATCTTGTGCTCATTTCTTGTCGGATTGTGATCACAGGCCAGGCATATTCACCTGGATGTTCAGAGAGTGGCTGCCAGATGTCTCGGCCTGTTCGGATTGGTTGAAAGAAGGCCGAGCGAGGAGCTGGTGAAGCAGCTGCGGCTTGCCTTCATCAACGGCCCACCTCAGGTCAGGGTTATGGCCAGCAGGGCGCTTATAGATCTTGCTACATGGCACGGCCCGCAGGAGCTCGACAGAGCCATTGGGCTGGAGCCGCCGCCTCCGAACGAGAAGAACAGCTTCACTCCGGTCGATCTGTCCAGTGGAAGTGATGATCTGAGTCTTTGGTTGCTGGACCTCTTTTACGCTGGGCTCAAGCAGGACGAATGGGGCCAGAGCTCCGAGGAGGATGAGCAGGAGACTGTACACGGCGTTCTTGGGGAGGGCTTCGCCAAAATTCTTCTGCTGAGAGAGAACTATCCAAGCATCCCCGCCTCCTTACACCCCTTGATCTTGGGCAGGCTCATATGCCTGTATTTTTGCTCCGAACACAAGGAGTTCGAAAGGTATCCTAATCAAATCCTCTGCATACTTTCCTCCTCTCACGTCCCCTACGATTATATATATATAATCATGGTTGACTTTCGTCCTCTTTCGACAGGTTGAAACAGTGCTTGTCGGTGTTCTTTGACCATTATGCCGCTCTTTCAGAAGTCAATAAGGCGAGTATCTTTGGGCGTTTTTCGTTCCTTTCTTTCAGAAGTCAATCGTTCCCGTTAATATCTTTTCCTCCCGAAATCAGGCGTGTATCTCCAGGGCCTTTGTCCCCGTCATGAGATCCATGTGGCCGGGGGTCAACGGCAACGCCGTGGGATACCAGGTTCTTGCGAGGAAGCGAGCGGTCAACGCTTCGCGCTTCATGTTGCAACTGATGCAGACTCCGGTCTACCAGTCGAAGGCCGAAGAGGCAGAGAAGAGCCCAGACAGCCTATCCACCTCGGGGAAGTCAACCCTCGACATGGAGAGCGGAGAGGAAGGGCTCGCTATCCGCATAGGTGCCGAGGTAAGATCAGCAGTCAACCGCGAGGTAAGATCGGTGCATCGAAACCCTTCACGAATCTCGTCTGCCGCTTTGAGCAGGTCGCAAATTTCCCGGCGAGGACCAGCGCCGCCGGCAGATCGTACATCTCGGCATTGTGCAGAGTCGCCGTGGCCCTGAAATTCAGGAGCTCCCAGCAGGAGGCGATAAAGTTCATGAGGGAACTTTTAGAACCCATGATGGAAGCTGCGTCGAAGGAGAAGGAGCTTCTAAAAGAGTTGTCTCGGATGGCCGCCAAGCTGAGAGCTCTGGACGAGAGCCCCGACCAGGACCTGCCGGCGGAGGTCGCCGGCGACATTCATGGTACACGCTCTCTTCTCTTTCCCCACCCGCTCAAATACAGTTGAATGCGTACGGCCTGGTCTCACGCGGAGGATCTTCAGGGAGGTTACAGCTGGAGGTTGACCTCAAGATAGACGCGCCGACGAAGCCGGCGACGCGCCCGCCGAGGGCGGCGCCGCCCAGGAGAGAGAGACGGTTCGCAGTGTCTTCGCGTTCTTCTTCCTCTGCCAGCGACGAGGACTGGGGCCACCCATCGGCCACTCCCGCCACTGCTGCGCGCGCGCAGAGGCGGAGCAAGACGGCGGCGATGAGCAGGCTGACGGCCGGAGCTGCGGCAGACGGCGAGGGGGACTCGGAAGTGACGTCGGAGGGGGTCTCCGACGAGGACAGCGAGTGAAAAGATGACTGTCGCGGGTGGGGGTGGGGCTCTGGCCTGTAATTTCTCCGAACAGGTGATCTGCATGACCGTCTAGTCGAAGCAGCAGGAAAGCTATGCGCGCCACCGAATACGTGACCTCATAACCTTTGCTCACGTCTCCTGTCATACGGCCTCTGACATCGCAGAGGGTGCTCTTCTCCAAAAGCTACTTTTTTTCTTCGCGAGGTAAAGAGAGAAACAGTCAGGTGAAGGCGGGTTCCCGGTGGTATCGTCTTTACTTCTTCCTTTGGCTTGTTCTCCAATGGAGGCAGACCAACATAAACGTTTGTAACGTGGATTACCGCAGAGGGAACTCTGAACAGACCCAGCCCTCCGCCATGAACGCCGTGCACGGAGCTCGGAGTTCGTCCGTGTGATTTTACTACCATCAGCCTCGACTTAGGCGAGAGCATCAAAAGACGGCGTTTTCCATGAGCTCAGCTGGGTGGGTGGTCGGGTTCCGACAGGTCAAGGAACCTCATTTTCTCCATCTGTGTACGGATCCTATTCTTTTTCCAAAGAAGGGGGGGTTTAAGTCAGAGTGAAGTGGTTGACATGACGGGCAATTTCTACTTTTGCTTGAGCGTGTCCTAGCGCCGGTCAATCTGTGGAGTTCCTAAATAATCCGAAATTATTATGATTTTATTTAAAAGTTTTGATGAATAATGGGATGGATCTTCGAGGGTTGAAAAGGCTTGTGAGACAGGTGACAAAGCGGAAGCTGGCCGGCAAGTTCGTTTGGGCACGAAGGCCACCAGACGGTCTCTCTCTCTCTCTCTCTCGCTCTCTCTCCCTCTCCGTAGGTCGTTTCTGGTCAAGCTTCTCCGCTGTGCGTCTCATTCGGAAGGACCGGTCCGGAAGCATTCTTTTTTGAGTCAGATCCATTTGCAGCGTTGAGCGCGGGGAGAGAGAGAGAGAGAGAGAGAGACTGATAGGCTTCTAAAGTACATGGAGGACCTGGACAGGCCATCTGTCACGGGGAGGCATCGGATTCCGATGGGTGCATACTCATCTCGGAATCGGTCCCGGCTTTTAATCCTCTCTTCATCCTCTTCGCGCCGGCGGGTTCCAGGAAAACGCCCGACGGCAGTTAAAAACACGCGTATTTACGGCGTTTTTGTTTCCTTCTCCTCCGCATGTCTTCCCTGAATCCGACCCTCCCCGCCATCGCTATAAATTCCTCCATACTTCCTCCCCTCAACCTCCACAACTAGAGGAGCCTGCAGGTCCCCCCGCGTCCCCCTCTCTTTCTCTCTCTCTCTCTGCGGTTTCGTCTGCTCCGAGGAGGAAGGCGTGGTGGTGGGATGGGCTTGGCGAAGATCTTCTGCGGGCTCGGGAGCGGGGAGAGGAAGAAGAAGGCGGTGTCGCCCCTCCACAGCCCACCCTCGTCCCGCCGGTCGTCGTCGTCCGCTTCCGCCGCGCGGTCGCCAGAGGAGGAGATGGAGCGGGTCTTCCGCAAGTTCGACGCCAACGGGGACGGGAAGATCTCCGCGGAGGAGATCGGGGCGGTTCTCGTCGGCCTTGGCCACCCGCCGGCGTCAGACGCGGAGCTGCACGCCATGGTGGCGGAGGCCGATGCCGACGGCGACGGCTTCATCGACCTCGCCGAGTTCGTGGCTCTGAACACCCGCGGCGTAGGGGCGGAAGCCGCCGTGGCGGACCTGCACTGGGCCTTCTCCGTGTTCGACGCCAACGGGGACGGCGCCATCACAGCGGAGGAGGTGTGGCGGGTGCTGCGCAGCTTGGGGGAGGAGGCCTCTCTGAGGCAGTGCCGGAGGATGGTGCGGAGCGTCGACCGCGACGGCGACGGCGTCGTTTCCCTTGAGGAGTTCACTGCCATGATGATGGGCACCTCTCATGGGCTCGTTCTCCGCTCGGGCTGCTCCTGAGGAAGGAGAAGGGCTTTAGCCAACCGCCGGGAAGCACCCTCCCTCTCCCCCGTCCTCCCTCCTTTCCCCATTAGGAAGTTTTCTCTGTACTGCTTTTTCTCGGCGGGTCGCCTTGGAGATCCTCTTCTTTCCCCTTGTGTAGTAAGTATCTCAAGTAATAGATCCGTTTGGCCTCGCACCTCCACACCGGTCATTCTCCCCTGCACGAGATTGAAAAACTGTTGAACATAACGACAACTTGGCAAAATGTCAACTTCACTGGATTCACCTTAACCGCCAGATGTGTTCGGGAATCTCCATTAGCAGATGCTACCCACCCCACCCCCTCTCTCTCTCTCTCTCTCTCTCTCTCTGCCTGCATCACCGTGGAGACGACAGCTCACTGCCATCAGGTCGTAACCTTGCCTGGTCAGTTGCTTGAGTTTTCGTTTTGCCCGGAGACACGGTCCGCGTAACACGGCCCATTTCTGCTGAAGGATAAGTTACTCTGTACCCTACAAAAACATCACCAACTGTCACAAGGTATCTCAGGTCTCCAGTATTAAGCAGTGTGCTATCCCTTTGGACCTTCAAAAAAATCTTCTTTTCTACTACGATACTCTTGGCACTTATTTCCTATACTATTAGCCATTGTTATGATTCACCTAAGACACTATTATTTTCATGATTTGATTGTCATGAATATGCATGCCCTCATGTAGTTCTAAGGGTCATTGTGATCTAAGTGTGATGTCTACATTGTTGATGATGATTCACTAAAAGGTTAGTAAGCATACCACGAATGGGAATGAATTAATTTTTAAAATATTTGTATCACTTTTATATTTTTCTTAAAGAATAATATTATAAATTTTACAATGAAAGGAAGCCCAATAACACTTGTTTGAATCGACACAGTAGGTTGTCATAAGATATTGTAGGTTTACAATAGCCCTCTTTTAGTAGGTTGACATATTAATATATAAATTAACTAAGATACTAAATTTTATAGTCGTTCTAATTTCCCTTAGCATACGTATATTATTCAAGAGTCATAACCCTTAGTTTCTACATTTTCACCTTGAGAATTCAATTTAAATTGATGAGATCAAAAGCCCTCTTTCCACATGATACATTCATAGAAAGCCAATTGAGCTATTATAAACAAAATATTTTTCTATTAAGCTTGACATGCTCTAATTGATTACAATATGTGTTAAGAATTTTGGTTTATTAAATTGTAATTTCACACAATTAAGTAGAAGTTGTGGATGTAAAAGATTAGATGGGGGACTTAATAAGTCACTATGTAATAAGTAAAGTTGGATCTAATTAAATATTAGCATTGGTACTTGTGGAGTAGAGTAGGTCAAGGATTGGCCAAACTTCTAAAAATCTGTTTAATTTGACAACTAACTGTAACTATTTATTCTCATGCTTCTTTCATAATTTCTTTACTACATATGAAACCATAATATGAGAATCATATGTATATTAAAGGACACCCACTTGACACATGCATAGAAGTCAAGTCAACAAAGAGGTCAACATGATATTTATAAACTTGACCAAGTATTGTCTTGCATCCATCAACAAATGTACTTGTGTAATGTACATATTAATACTCTTTAGTATTGCATACACATTGATATGATGGACATAATTAGTCACAAGAATTATTGAAAGAACTTATACATTTAAATGTTATCACATCCATGGTTTGAATGTTATCATTTGTTGCTATAGTGAAAATATGATAAACACCAGATATAAATAGATGTAGCAAACTATTGAATATACATTGAATATATTTAATCTAAGTAAAATCATGTGATTAACTTCAAAATTATTTTTGTGCTAAATAAATAAATGTAAAATTATAATTCAAAAAAAATTGAACATATAACTACCATGCATTGATTTTAGAGTTGCCCAATCTACAACCAATATCAATTATCCCAAGATCCCTTGCAACATATAGGTTATACTAATCTTTGGAAAGATTACAACCATCATATACTCAAAGATGTAGCCATTAGATAGTTATCAACATTGTTAAATACTTTATTTTTTGTGAAACAAGTAACCAAATTATTTCCACCCAATCATTATTTTATCATTTTTCACCACATAGTTCATCACAATATTGTCAATTCTTCACTATTCTTAGGGTTTCAACCCACTAAAAAGATCAAATTATTATCAATCCCAAAGAAAAAATATAATTCTTGATTCCTCTTAGGTTGTCAACGACATAATATATAATCATAAGTAGTAGCACAATACAAAGTTATTATAGTAATGATTATACAAAATTCACTATCTTATGTTGTCACAACCAAAGTATTGTTCACCTCTAATAATTACAAGTAGCTTAGAAAATGACAGTGGCATGGTGCATGATGCTTTGAAAAGAATTTCAAAAAAATATATATTAATTTTATATATTTCATATGCATTTTAGTAGTTGAAATTTTTATGAGAGACTTATTGTATCATATTATTATTTAAAATAGCTTTATAATCAGTATTCATATGTTTAGTATAAATAATCAAGTGTAAATTTTGTATTTCACTTATAAATGATGAATAACACATGATATAAATTGATAAAGATAAGATACCATTATACTTGAGAGTTGGCAACATAGTACATGAGTGTTGATAATGAATAACATTGACAAGCATAGACTACATGGCTTGTATATGATAATATATACATCTAGATAATATAAAAAATTAATGCACATAATATGTGAATGCATTTAGCAATCTATGACTATAGCTAACATAGTATATTGGTTAACTTGGCAGTTTGGTAAGCATGTTCCCATCACACTTATGACCCAACTAGCTTGTTAATGGAAATGGGAATTCTCTCTTGGTAAAAGGGGTTGGTTCGATGTAGGATCTACACCACAAGGAGTGGTATGAACATGGATAATATCCTTACTACCTCTCTTTGCATATAACTAGGGATGCTTAATGCCACTTTGACAATTGTCATTACATGTGCTTTCATGTCTCTTAATATGGTCAACTTAGAGTATCTCTCAATATGTAAATACGTATAAAACAACACATTACTGTAGATGTATCAATAAATATGCACATTACACAATAATGACTATGGATAATAGAGTCATGTATAATTTTATGAACATAATATACAAAAATATAGATACACAATATATGCATGTTGATAATGAAGTATATGATGTATTCTGATAACATAATATGTGAATATCGATAACACAATATATTATGAATAAAAATATCAACATGTATATAATGTTGCATTATGATAATATTAAATAAATTATTAAAAGGTTAACATTGATAGATTCTACACAGTGTTAACTTAATGCACTATTTGTTTTATTGATGACATTACACCATTATTTGTGAATAACATATTGTATTGGTTTTATGATCTTATTATAATTATTATTGATTCTAGCATAACTACAAAGTAATAGGGCTCTTAGTTGTTGGACTCTATATGACAACATATTACCAAAAGGAAGGATGAATTGATGAAGTCTTAATTTAGTTTCTACTTCATTTGATTTCTTCTCCCTTCTCATTTATAGGGATTTAGATGGTTGGATGAGTATTTTGAACACTATTTTTATAAAATTTGACTATCTAAACTGCTCTAATCTTTAAGTATTGTGTATGATGCTGCTTCCTTGGGTTTCACTAAAGTATCAATGAAAAACATATTGAATTAGATGCATTAGTAAACTTAACACTAAATATAATGACTTGAGGCAATTCAAAATCCCACCCTAAAAATTTCTTATAAATTCACAATTCTAGTAAACAAAATTAAAGAAGACCCACCCCTTTATTTTAAATTCACAACTTTAGAAGGTCAACTAGAGGAGACCTATTTTTAGTTTCTAGATTCATGACTCCAAGGGAACAAACAAAATTAACACAATCTAATCCACTTTATATTAATACTTTAGAAGTGACTTGTTGCAAACATGCTTTACACAAAAAGTATAATGTGTTATCCTTCTTAAGAGTTTTGTTCTATACTTTAGAGGCTTTTCCTTTTATTTTGTCATTAGAAAATCTTGGCATGAAAGAGCCCTTGATGAGCTTGAGTAGCAACAATTCTTCATGGCTTCCATGTACTCATGGTTGCAACAATTTGACATAGACTCCTTAGAGGTATGTGGTAATCACTAAGGCTCTCTCTCTGAATTTATTGAAATTTATTTCTCAAAATCTTCTTCATACTCTCTCACTTTAAGTGAGTATTAGTCCTTCCTTTTATAAGGAGCATAGTGGGCCACTGTAGGTCTTAGCATAATGGGCTATCCCAATGGTTGTCCAATAATCTAAAATCCATCACATCTCATGCCTAAAATTTAAACTCTAGAATAAGGAGTTAACATTCGAAAATCCATAAAAACTCAATGCCTTGGAATTTCAATATGTGGTATATTTTATTATATTCCCTTTTCTAGTAAGCTTTCTAGTGAGTATTCATACTATGTATGTGGCACATATGTTTTATATAAACTTATTACTTCAAGTTCACACATAAATGATAAGTATTATGGTACCTTAAGTAAAATTCTTAATTTAATCAACAGTAAATGACTTTTCTATCCTTTAGTGATTTTTGCTGAGTTAACAAACCCTTATGAAGTTACTAAAATGCCCTCAATGTAAATGGCCATCATCAAAGTAAGTTAAGCTCCCAAGGTCTTCATTAGTCATTCTAATTGATGAGCAAATTATAGTTCTTGTAGCATGGGTGTAAAGTTTTCGTTAGCATGCATTTAACAACCATATTTTGCTAAGCACAACCGAAGTCTATATCTCCATTCAAGTCTGGTTATCTATATGTACACACCACCATACATGCCACGATGACATTCTCCATAAATTGTGTACATCACTTGAACTAGTGATTAAGGTCATCAATGTAAATTATCATCTCCTTCGCATTGAATTCACTGTCAAATACTTTTGACTCATATACCTTGGCCCAAGTTTGTCATTCATCAATGATATGTATATGAGTGTCCTCTTGATCAAGTGACTTCAACTTGAAAGGGCTATAGTGAATCTTTAAGAGAATGACACTTTTTTGAATTTTTTATTTAATATTTTTTTTATATATTATAAGTATTTTTTTAAAGCGCAACAAAAAGAATGGCGAGAATATTACCCTCATAGGTCAATATATTTTTTCATTATTACTATCAAGTGTCTACTCAAATTAGATAATACCATATTTAAAATCCACATTAAAATGTGGCTCTTAAGGTATTATTTTTTCCACCAGATTAAGAAAGTGAAAGAAGGAAAACCATCCTCACATAGATGAGACCACTTAGATGAATGGGATCAAGTTCCCCATGACAATCAGTGTTATTACCACGTTGGTTATTGCTGTTACACATGGAAAACCAAAGGGGGGGAATGGCATAAGTCAACGGACCACTCGCCCCGCCGACCAACCCACACCCAGGAGGATGAAAAGCCAGCCATTTAAACACGAAGGAAGGAAGAAAGGAAGGAAGGATGGCTGATGAAGAAGACGACGACGGCAGTGACGATGGGGCCTCCTGGGTCGGCGGCAAAACCCCTCTGCCGAGCCTGTTATAACTCAGAAACTCCACGAGAGGAATGAGGACCCCAGGAGAACTGGCGGTAGCGGGCCAGCGGGCGCTTAGGTTGGCTTCCAGAGGATGGTGGTCTCGGCAACCATGGAGGTCACCACGTAGGGATCCATGTTGGAAGCCGGCCTCCTGTCCTCGAAGTAACCTGGCCAGGGAAACAACGAAGATGTCAGATCGCATGGTTCAATTCAACGAGTATTTTCAAGGCAAGAAGCGCAATGGCTACCTTTCCCTTCCTTCTCGGTGTCCCGTCCGACGCGGATGGAAGCCCCCCTGTTCGCAACTCCCTGTTGTTTTGGACAAGTAAGAATTAGGGTTCTTAGTATAGCCGTTGACTTCTGCATTTTAATGGTTAGGACGGTCGGGGGCCATTACCCATTTGAAGGTGTTGATGTCGGCGGTTTCGTGTCGGCCGGTGAGACGTTCCTCGTTGTCCTCGCCGTATGCCTGGATGTGCTCCTTGTGCCTCAGGCCGAGCTTGTCGATGGCCTTCTTGATCACTTCGTATCCGCCTTCCTCCCGCATTGTCTTGGTGCTGTAGGCGACAGATTGCGCACTCGTCAGCTCACTCCTCCCAGAAGATTCATCGGAGTCGGGAACAAATCCGTAGTAACTGGTTGGTATCTCACCTGTAGTTCGTGTGACAACCCGCGCCGTTCCAGTCTCCCTGTCCACAATCAAGGTCAGAACCGGTTTAGAGAGAGAGAGAGAGAGAGAGAGAGAGAGAGAGAGAGGGATCTCACCTTGATTGGTTTGGGGTGTAAGGAGAGAACGACTCCTGCAACCTCTGTGATCCTCTGTTCCAGGAAAGCAGATAGAAGAGTCAGCGCGGTGAACAGGAAGGGAGACTAAATTTAGACATCCGGCTAGGGTTTCTTATCAGTTACCTCCAAGATGTAGCGGGCAACCCACAGTTGATCAGAAGCGGCGATGCCGACGGCGGGGCCGACTTGGAATTCCCACTGTAGAAGATGGACTCAAGCGTCAGACTGGAGACGGAGCCGACGGTTTTGGGAGGAGAAAGAAGAAGAAAGGGAAGAAGAACAGCGGCTGGAAGCTCCTACCTGCCCGGGCATAACCTCTCCGTTGATGCCGCTGATGTTGATTCCGGCATAAAGACAGGCCTTGTAGTGGGCATCGACGATATCTCGGCCGAATGCCTTGTCCACACCTATTCCGCAGTAGTACGGACCCTGTCGCAATCCAGCAGAGCATCAAGAAAAGGCCAATAGGAGGAGGAAGATAAACTAATGGAGATCTGAAGAGGCCCAGAAAGCTGAGCGATGACCTCACCTGTGGAGCAGGGAAACCACCCAGGGGCCAGCCGAGGGGCCACTTGACGTCCTTCTGGAGGAGGGTGTACTCCTGCTCCAGTCCATACCTGGTCATTGCGCCAAGATTGGTCATGGGGTCAGAACCAGGTAGAAGACAGAGTAGCGGGGAAGAACATGTCTGTGATTCATGGAGCATTACCAGGGCACCTCAGCGACAACCGCGGGGTCGCTGAAGATCTGAGCAGCCCTGTATCTCTTGTTGGTAGGGATCGGCTCTCCAGCAGGTGTGTAGCAGTCGCACATGACCTGATCGAATCAAACAACTCAGATCCTTGGAAAAAGATGAAACGGATCGAATGAGCACCGTCCGCCGCGAGGAGAAAGACGTACGAGAATGTTATTCCCTCTCCTGAACGGATCCTTGAAGATGGCCTGGGGGCTGTCCATTCACACGCAGAGAGGGGTTAGATTTTTTCCTTGAAGAGCTCGCATCTTTACGCCGGGGAGAAGGGGTAGGGACTTACTAGATAATCACTTCACTGTCCTCTCCGGGGGCTTGGCCCGTGCTGGAGCCATCATAGTTCCACTTGGGGAGCTTGCTGGGGTCATCCACAGGTCCGGAGAGAGTCTGCTCATGCCCAGATCAATAAATCAGACTCATACGATCAGACGATCAAAGCAATGTGGTCTCGCGAGATTCGCGAAGCTTACCCTGGCTTTGCTCCTCATGTCCAAGCCAGAGCCGCCGATCCTGTTCGAGCGGGGAAGAAACAGGAGAATCAATTAAAAATTTCTGGAATCTCACGGGGAAAGGAATCTCACCGAACGATGGAAGAGAGCTCACCATATGTACTCGGCGATGATCTTCTCCGTGCTCTCGGAGAGGTTCAGGTTCTGGAGATCAGTGAGAAGAGCCATGGCAGCAGCCGAAGCAGGAGTAGCAGAAGATGGATCCCGGGAGAACGGCGATCGATCCGCTAGGCAACGAGAATGCTGCGGTGAATGGAGTTGCAGGGCAGCGGCGGGGGCTTCTTATATAGATGGATTCAAGCTTTAAAAAAAAAGGGAAGAAATCTCCGGTGGCCCCCCAAACCTCTCCACTGTTGCCATAGGAAGAGGGCTTAACCAAAAGTCAGAAGCCGAAACATCCCTGACGTCGGCGCCGAAAACCGGTTGGTAAGGTAATTTGCGCCGCCACGGGTGAGTTGTGGGCCCCATCCCGCCCCCACTTTTACTGCATTTTCCCATCATGAGAGAGAGAAACGACCATTTAAGTGACACTAATACCCTCTATATCAAAAACATTTATTATATTCGAGGGTCAGCGTGCCAAGTGGCGCTCTCTCGCTCTCTCTCTCTCTCTCTGTCACGAGTGCATGTGGCGGCCTCTACTGCTATGTTTTGGGGGGATGGTTGCGGGTCTAGATCTGCTCATTTAGTTAGATTATCAAGTTTGTATTTTGCCGGGAGTCCACTCCTGGCTTCCAATCAGCTGCCCCCACGTGGCTTGGGAACCCACCTTAGGGCCGAAAATATCCCAGCGGGTCTGATAATTTATTTCTTATTTATGGACAGGCGCCCTTCAAGAGCATGTTTGTCAACGCCACCAGGAATCTTCAGCATCTCCCTGCGGCCAGCCGCCAATAACTGGCCGCCAGTTCTCCTCGGCTCCTGACCGAATCCGAACAGCGGAAGGAATCTCGCGGTAATAATCTCGGGCCTTATTTTAGAGCCCACTTGGCCTGACGGGGTGCATCAATGGGCCTCATTAAAAAACAATAAATACCAGATTATTATATAATGCCCCGATTGGAAGAGAGAGAAGATGGCAGGATCGGCCATGGATTCCAAGGTATCAATCAATCATCGATGGCGAGAAAGTCTCACCTTCTCCAGCGAATGCAGGGGAGGGGAGCCGGGGGGGGGGTGGGTGTTGACGGAATCACAGCGCCTCCATTTCTTCGGGTCGCTTTCGATTCCTGCTCAGAACAGCAGGTTGTGAAAGGAACTCGTTTCTGTCGCCGTATTTTCTATTCCGGCGATCGCCATGCGCGGGCGTGCTCGTCGCCGGCGCACATCTCCCCGCCCGGCGTGCGGCAGGCTGACGCCGCCCGAGACTCCGATCGTGGTATCGCAGACTACGACCTGACAGGGAATCCAAGATCCAGTTGCTGAAAAATAAGAATAGAACGAGAAGATGCTGGGGAGGATCGAAGAGCGGAAGCTTGACGCAAGGGGGGAGGGCAGTGGAAGAGGTGAGGCCGCTAAAGCGTGGACGGTGAACCATCTCAGGGACAAGATGCTTCCCGTGGCGTCGTTTGGCCTCCTGCTGACGTTCGGGGAGGCGTTTTTTCTCGCCCGCTGATTCATTCTCTCTGTCTCGCTGATCTTCGTCTTCTCCCCCCTTTCCGGGGCGGAGGAAGACGACGACCGCGAGGAGAGGGAGGCCATTTACACAAATTGCACTCGGAATCTTCTGAATTGGTGAAATATCGTTTTATCGTTTATTTCGGTGATTTTACGAGGATACATATACATATAATAAAAATAGGTCTTTTTGGTGCATTTTCTTCTGTAAAAAGGGGAAGATGATAAAAGGATCGTAACTGGTGGGCCCCACAAGCTCGAACATTAACTAAGAATCCTGTGGTCCCCACTGAGGTTCCACGTTGAAAAACCCCGCCAACTAGGCATTGACGTGGACAGATTCCATTTTCCCGCGCCCTCCCCGACGGTGATCGTTTATCGGGACGATTCTTTAGTATTAAATTTAATTCAGTCGTCTCATCGATATGAACGGCGCGCTGCGCGCGATGATCCAGAGCGCTGCAGCAACGGCGGCAACAGCACATCCCCCTCTCGGTGTCTTCTCTGCCGGCCCCGGAGGAGCTTCTCAAGTTGCAGGATTAGGTAAGGGGGACGCTGCCCCCCCCCCTTCCGCCCCCGTTTTTTCTCTTCCCATCTTTCTTCGATATTTAATCGAATCGCCGAAGTCGTAAAAACACCTGATTCTTCTTCCGGATTAAAGAAATCGAACTGCAGATTTTTCTGTTCCTCCGTGTCACCTCCATTATGCGGACGCCTACGAGGTCAACCTCCGGATGCTTGCGGGAAGGGAGGCGCATGGTGTTTTAATTATTCCCGAAGAGTCAGTTGACTCGATTTAAATATTCCGGTAGCTCCTCCACTGCCGTTGAATCCAGAAGCCCGTGCAGTGTAGGTTTCATCTTGTTACATCACAAATCAGGCGACGGTTTCTTGCCTTCTTCTCTAATCAGATTCACCTTCCGGTCGCTGTCATGGTTTTTTCTCCGCCTCTCCATCAGAAGATGCAGTCATCGTCCCCCACGGCTCGATCATCGATCCCAATCACCCGCACTGATGTCTCACCGCACGAATAAAAACAAAAGGGGGGCAATGAGGGAAGATATGGCATGCCGTGGCTGAAGAGGATTTTCTATTCCTCGCTCTCCCGCGTGCCACACCTGGAATCCACACCACCAGTTCGACAATGTGCGACTTCAGGATCACGCCTGCTCCGTCGGACTCTTCTATGCTTCGGTCCCCCCGATTAGATGTGCATCTGCCACCGCTTCCCGCAGTTGCCAGTGGGGTTTAGCAGCTCACGCAACTCGCGAAAGGGCGTCCACGTGATTCCTTCTTCATCAGCAATTCCGCCGACCGTGATCGGGAGTCGGATTTCTTCCCCGTCTGGCATCTATCCAACTGTGTCTTCTGTCCACTGCTTGGCAAGTAGGCAACCTTATCCATGTGCCACACGTTGTTGACGCCTAGGAACAAACGAGCCGGCCTATAGCAATGCCATCGTCTCCCTTTATGAAGAGGCAAAAGTAGACTTCTAGATGATCTGTGAGGACTCTCGCGTGTAGTCCCTCTGTTCTTGTCCAGAATCATCATCCTGATGACTTTGGGCATATATGCTTATCCTGCCTACTATTCAAACTTGCTTTATGGATTGTGCTCTAGCCCTCTAGCGCCTCTGTTCTTCTGGTGTAGCCATTGCGAGTCGTAATGCGATCTTTTCTGATTCGGCGGCATGGAAAACGTTTGAAACGGTACGTCTTTTCTATTTGATGTTTTTTGATCTTTTTCATCATACTATACCTATTAGGGCTATTATTTTAGAAAATTTTTTAGCAATAAGCATGGGAAGGAGAGAAGCTCTCAACTTCCATATTACGTTTTTTTTAATTTATTTAGTAGATTTAGTATTTCGAAAGAGGATGTCTTTAGATTTAAATATGATCATTTCTATATGGCTATTATTCTTTTTTAAGTCAAATACAATAATACTTCAAACATAAAAGAATTAGGAATATCTATACATACTTTCTAATACTAATCTCTCGAATATGTATTACTATGGAGTTGAATATTGACCTCAATAGCATCATTTATGTTATGAGTCATTGTTATATAAATACATATGCATATATCTACTTGTAATTATTATAATCAAAGACCATCATCCTGTTAGTCTCTTTTCACATGTAAACCGCACATGAAATACATGGCTTTCATCTTGAAACAACATTAGCCATTGTATATCAAGATTAATATACCTTATTTTAGAATGTGAATATGACAGAGGAAATCGAAATACTTGACATATCATTAACTTCTTGGAAAAGTTGATCAAGACATAATTTCCATAATTTCCCATATTCTAAATGTTTTTTTAAGCAATGAATGCACATTCTTTATTGAAAACACCTCACATGGATTTGTCCTTTTAGGTTGTCATCATTAACTAACGTATTTATTGACATACTCTACTTATGAGTTAGTAAACTTGTCATTGAGATACAACATTCTAGAACCTCACTTGGCTCAATAGTTTCTAGACTAACACTTCAAAACTATAGCATTTGCTTCTTTGTATAGGGGATGGAGAAAATTCAAAGCATGCTATTGCTCTTGTTGTTTTTATTCCGTAATAATAATATTAGATTGCAAAACCTAGAATGCTAAATGTTCAAGTGTTTTACTAAGTGTATTACAAGTCAACATGAACTGAACAAGTTTCAATTGATAAAGCTTAATGTTAGGACAATGTGGTAAATTAGTTACTCTCTTCTAACATAAAAAATATAGCACCTTTGAGAAAATTAAATATTTTTTTCTCCATATGAATATTACATTGAAGGAAGTTCAAGGTTCTATCAAACTCTTTCTTTTGTCTTTGACTAATCCTCTATTTTAAAATTAGTTTTCTTGTCTACTCTATTCCTATTTCTTCCCCCTCCCCCCTAACTTTTGTGTCTTCTTATTTGGTAACTGAGGCAATATCATGATTATACCAATCAACATGAGAAGATTGTACTATTAGATATAATGTCTTCAAAATTGCAACTAGTGATGTGAGCACAATTGGTCATATCTTCAACATATCTTCTTAGATATTGCATCAAATTATATAATCAACTCTGCTATGTACTAACTTTACAACATTATAGAGGCCCAACCAATAGACAATTGGGCAAAGCTTGTTAGTTTTTAACATTATAACTTAGTAAAAAATATTTCAGAGTATACACTACTTCATGAGTCATTCATATTGTTAATTGTTAAAATACTACAAGATGAATCAAGAGAGAAGGAGGTGAGGAGTTAGAAATTTTGATTTTATCTAATCACTACTGATTTATGGGTTGAATAGGACCTTGATTGGGAAAAAATGAATTAACTCACTAGGCAACACAATATAAGCTCACTAGTCAACTTGTATCTCTATGTTCATATCTTTAGATAATCCCACATAACATTTAATGTTAGTTTATTATTCACTAAATAAAATCAATCAATAAAATGGCAGATTAACCATTCACTATTTGCAGGTAGCTTTTGATAAAATAATGAATGATCATATTCCTGCTATTTAATATCCAAAAAGGTCT